TTTCATCAGAGCTCAATGTGCCCTGTGTCCAGTCCTAGGGTTGGTGCAAACCGGGTTTTTTCCCCTCCGAATGTAAAGTGATATGTGCAAACCGGGTCTTGTCGCCGTTATACGCCTCCTTGAGATTCGGTGTGCACCCGAGTTCAGGAACGTAACCACTAGTCACGGTGGTGTCTCCGCTGCTCAATGCTCTCCGTTCCCAATGACCCACCCTCATGTGTCCTCCCAAACCGCAGCCGCAACTCCTGACGATGGCAGCTGCCCTCCTCCACCGGCTCTCTTCCTTTGTTAGTTGGCGGGCTCTGCATTGCGTCTCCCGCCCAGCCGGGGCGTTGCATCAGGCCCGGCGCAGGTGAGTAGCAATGAACTCGAACCGAGATATTTCACTAATCTTTTTACGTCTTAGGACGAATGATGTTCAGAGGCTATCGGTGCCCATGCGGATGTCGGTGAAGGAAGGCCGGGCAGTCGTCTAGTCAATAGTGCCGACCGACCTGAGGGTTCAGGTGCTCTTCCCAGGAAAGCCTGAGTTCGGCGGATAGTGGCTTCAACCTGAGCACGGCAAAAGTCCTGCAGAGATTCTGAGCCGCATATAAGGGCCAGCGCGTGGTACTTTGCTCGACAGCGAGCAGTTTCATACTCAAGCTTAGAACACCATGCGTCTTACCACTGTCCTCGGTGTCGTTGTCGCAGTATTCGTTGCCCATGCCGCTGCGCAGAGCTGCCCCGGCTGCGAGTCGCCTACGGGCTGTCCCGGACTGTGTTTCCAATCTGGCGGGCAGTGAGTAGTTGCTACTTCAGAGCGCTCGCTTTGTCGCGATCTCATAACACCGCTTTTTCACAGGCCATTCTGCAAGGGCTATTGCGGCTCTACAGGTATGAGCCCTTGTGGCGCCTGTGCCGGCCAGGGCGATGAAGGGAATTGCTACTATGACGACTCAGGCGAGTGTTTCCTGGAGGTGCTGTAGGTGCGTCGACCTTTCCTTAGTTCAGCTACGCGTGTTTAATCAGGCCCCTTCGCAGGCGAAGCTAATGCGTGGGCGATTTAATGACAATTGTTTACTGTTCGGCTTGAAGACGTTCTCCCTGTATGATTCATGTACCAGTATGCAGCCATTATGTGAAGTGACAAAGTGTGCGTCAGACACTCAGTCTTGAGTTGTGTCTAGCCAATGCCTCAAGAGTTCGTCGGGAGCCTGCGACGGCGGTGAGCCGCGAGACAATGCACCTGAAGGCAAACTAAGGAAGGGCTAGTGATGCCTAGCCCTCATCCTAAGCTTACAGCTGTGCGCGGGTTAATCTAACAGCTTCAGCGATGGTATGTCCCGCAGCCGACCTTCGTTGTTTACCGGGCTTCCCAGATACTCGCTAGTATGCAGTGGTGTTCGAGTGCATTAGCTTGGAGGTCACCGCCCAACCCGACTCATATTACGTCTCGTATGATAAGGTAACGCAGCGGGACATAAGTCAGGCGGCGACGGTCGTTGCTTGCCGCTTCGTGATCGGATGAGGACGCAAGCGCAACGCTTCAAGCCTTCAGCGGGTCTAAGACATACAGGCTGAGATATCCAACGGAGTAAGCATATGTCAGAGTCGTGCAATCCTGAAGCCAAGCACTGGAATTATCCTGACCATCCGCATCTCACGGTCCATGTATCTACCTCAGGCTACCGTCCCCTGTTCTGGTGGTCTTCGCCTCGCTTGCTGCTCAAGGTGTAGTGCATGTCCCTGGAAAATTGCACTCAATGGACGTCCCCACAGGTCGCCCTGGACTCTGCGATCTGGTCGACGGAAAGTAGGTCATCCCGGAGAATACCCTTGCGAGGCTTGTGCAAAACAGGGCTCGAATAAGAACTGCTACTACTTCGATAACACTGGCCAAGGCCAGTTGCGGATGTTCTGTTAGGTAAGTTGACCCGTAGTTAACCGCTGAGTCCAGTGCATAGATTATATGGCTTGACGAAGCTCGTGACATGAATGCTGCACTCAAACGACCGACAACGAGCGTGGCAATAAACTGAAATTTTAACGACGATTTCCTTTTGTGACCTTGCACCGGCATGATCCGCAATTGCGTCACGTCCCGTTACGCCCCGAGAAGAACTCCCCGTGCACTAGTACTGTTGCTCATTGCTCTCGACTCGCTGCAGCTATGAAGGTGCCGGTGAGGCGCTGAAGAGAGTCTGCTGCCGCCTTTCCAAGTGCTCTGAATGATTGATTACAGGACTATACTCGCGCTTCGTGCTTATCTTGACGGTCGGCAAGTTCAATACCGACTGTCTCCGTCCGTCGAGCATTCTCCGCTACTCAGCGCGGTTCTTCGCTCTCCGTTCCCGATGACCCGCTCTCGTGTGCCCGCTCGAACTGCAGCTGCAA